ACTGTTTCTGAAGAGATGTTGCTACGTACTCTAAAAGAGAACATTTGTGAATTTGCTGGCTGTATCAGCTGTATTTTGCAAAATGAAGTGTCGTTTGAAGATCTTCGTCGTTGTCATTGCATTGCCATTGACTCATCAACAAGACACTATCAGTGACTATCAACAAGTTTTGTAGATTCATCGTAATTCACTATTTGTAATGTAACTTATTGCCTGTAACATGATTCACTGTTTGATTACTACTTTTGCAACATATGTATAATGTATATGGATAATCACAATGTATATAGGCCTTATTTACAATAAGCATAATAATAATTTGACTTTGACTTCTTTTTTATGTAAACTAAGGGAAACAAAGAGGCTGTATTTTGGTTGATACCCGCAGGGCATATTTACCCTTTTCGTGAACACCTGGTGTCATAACTTACTTTATTGATCCATTCGTGTAATTTTCACCGCTATTTGCACTTTACGGATGATTGAATCTGTTTCTGAGGATACTCGAGACTGAGTGTTCTTTTGCACTCATGCTTTTTTTTTAAAGTGATGTAAATTTTATTGGAAATATAAACAACAATTCAATGATGCAATACAGAATCCATGTTTATTTATCATGCGATGTTACATGGAAACAAATAGTGCACTTCTGTAAATGTGCAACTCTCATAGTATAATGTTTGTAATCTACTTTGGACTCTTGAGAAAATGAATAAAGTTTCTGAACAAAAATTCCTGACCTTGTTGAGTTATCTAGGCGGAGAACAGACCAAAGAGACCATTCGTCACCACTCGCCCTTTCCGTAACCTCCAAAGGAGACTCGTCCCCGTCTCGATGCTTGTTATGTGTGAAAATACGACAAACCAATCAGAACGCTCGTAATGAATGCGGTGCTTCCATAAAAATAATCCCGAGTACTTAAATCGTTCATGGCATTATGTGCTTGTTTTAAAAATCACGAAATATATATATCGTTATATTGACAATACAAAGAACACAGTTAACATAATTGTGGTGCCTAATGTGTTTTAAAACATATAAGAATAATGCCATGGACAGCAAAATTCAAATACACGCACGTGCATTTGTTTACATAACGAGGGCGGTGGGGTAGTCTAGTTGTTAAAGCGTTCGTTCTTCACACCGAAGATCCGGGTTCGATTCCTCACATGGGTACGAAGCCCATTTCCGATGTACCCCGCCGTGATATTGCTCAAATATTGCTAAAAGCGGCGTAAAACCCATCTCACTCACTTACTGTTTACAAAACGGTTCTCATGGGTGCAACTCAGCGTTTTTGACGATCCTGCGGGCTGGTTTTAAAGATTATGTCCACTTTCCGACATTTTAGGAAACATAATTATAAATCGATGCGACTTATATATATTGTATAATATATAACTAATCAACTTTAACACTGGGTTCACATTTAACATCTCTGGGGATATTTTAGTCTGACGTTTCTGGGGTCCTTTCATTTTTCTTTAGTGCATTCATTTTAAAATCCCAGCAGGGTATGAGAGCAAGGTTACACGAATGTCATTTTTAGTATCTGTGATGGAATTTAATGTAGCTGAAAAGATATTATTTGCATATTCCATAAAACAAATATGCTTTCTTTTTATAATTATTACAGGGAGGTTTACTTCATGACAGGAAATGAATCTTCCCTCCAAAAAAAGAAAAGAAAAGAACAACAAACCAAAAAAACACCTTCATTGTTTGATTTCCTTCATCATATACATGATAATACTCATGGATGAGGGATTGGGGATATCTTGAGAGTACCTTACACAACGGTGATTATAAAATCTGTCTCTTGGTCACTATGACCATCGCTGGACACGTCGTCTTCAGCCTCAGCCATGTCCACGTTGGACAATATATCCATCCACACTTCAGTTTCAGTAGACGGGACCTCTTTGTCGGACCTCTCAAAGGATCGCACATTATCCAAAAATAGGTTTCAAGAGAGGCCCATGACCAAAATAGCTTATGTAACTCATCGCCGTAAGCAGTCGATCTAGGAAGGTATCCTCCCAGCATTTCACTCAGTTTTCGCTCATTCCATCTTTCATTGCGACCATAATCTTCATTGTCTTTCTCCCTAGCCGACATATGTCCGTGGCAGTGCTTCAATGTTCTCTCCCACATAACCTCCAGCTCCCTCTTCTCTCGTTCCTTATCACGGTAGGACTAGGAAGTGTATCAGCAATGATAGATTCCGACATATCAGAAATATACCAGCGTTGCTAGAATCTGATGTGCAAGAGATTGATACGTCACTTTTCTGTCCACAGGGGAACTAAATAAGGTTACGTAATAAAGAACAATGACTTTCTGCTTCATGGAAACGCGTTTTGGAACAGCAGCATACTATTCTTGTGGTGGGAGGTACAGTGAATAGTTGACTGACACGTTTGTCATCCAGTTTAAGCATGTTGTTCTCCGGCCATTCATCCGCTTTGTCTCGACGATCATATGGAACCCAATTGCAGACCCGTGAAGATCCAGGTGAGAATTGGTCTTCAGCAACCCATACTTGTCGTGAGAGGCGACTTAAGGGATTGGGTGGTCAGACTTGGTCGACACATGTCATCGTATCTCAGTTGCATAGATCGGTGCTCATGCGGTTGATCACTGGATTGTGTTGATAGTACATAGCTAGGGAAAGATCTGTCTCCGAATGTCCCCGAAAGTTTTACATGAATCTGTCCTATCAGGCCGAGAGGCCAAAAGACCCGTGGAGATCCGGGTTAGAATTGGTCTTCAGAATCTATTCTTGTCGTAAGAGGCGACTATCGGGATCGGGTGGTTAGGCTCGCTGACTTGGTTGACACATGTTATCGTATCGTATCGTATCTTGCTGTTGATCACTGGATTGCCTGGTCGAGACACGATTATTTACAAACCGCCGCCATATAACTGTAATATTGCTGGAGTGCGGCGTTAAACAACAAACAAACAAAACAACCGCCAGATATATTTCATTTTGAGCAGCAATTATACACGTGGAGACACGTAATGCTTATGTCCGCACCAAACACTAATTTAACTTTAGAACCATATTTGTACGTTTTGATATGAACTTTAATTTTGATCATCATGCTTTCGTTCCATAACCACTTTCTCCACACGCCAATGTGTGCAAGCTTGTCTACTCTCTGCTTGTCATTTGAATAAAAACTTCCTTGTACCGCATCATCAGCTACATCTATCAACTGATAATCTGGATTCCATGTCTGTACTAACGCCTTCGTAGGATAAATATTTTTTTTAAAGGCATACCCCAGATTGGACATGATCTCCGACTTTGAATATAAATGATTTCATTTCAGCTTTCGTTTCTCCTTTTGTTTAAAAGATCAATGTATTGTCCTTCCATATAATTTTATTTTTTTCATTTTGCATTCGTTTATTATTTTTACTCATGGATCTGTGGGGTCTGTGATTATTTTCTATGGCGAAATCTTTTAAAATATCAAACTGCTTGTGACTGAAATATCTGTCTATGGTGGTCGTGGGAGTACATAGGACACCTCTGGAGGCTTTGGTTTCATTCTGTGTCACATACATGTGACAAGTTATGCCTTTTACTTTCCAAAGAATCTCTGACTTTCTCATTGTTCTTATTTACCCGTGATGATCCGGGTAGGAATTGCTTCTCGTAAGAGGCGACTAACGGGATCAGGGTGGTCAGGCTCGCTGACTTGGTTGACACGTGTCATCGCATCCTAATTGCGTAGAACGATGCTTATGCTGTTGATCACTGAACTGTCTGGTTCCTGACCCGATTATTTCCAGACCATGTTAGAGCTGAATGCGGCGTTAAACGACAATAAATCAATCAAATAATTCATTACTCTTTATCTCCCAATATCAGATCTTAGAATATGAGGTACAGTGTGGCATGTGAAAATATCATTTTATGTACCTAAAACAGCAGCTTGTGTTTATTCTTTAAGATTTCCGTGTAAATACATTAATACCTGTAGAGAAGTACTTCGGACACCATCATTGCTATATTAGATATACCAATCTTGTCGATGTAACATCTGTCTTTCAATCCAGCGGGTATTACCCTGTTCTGCTTGGACTACAAAGTACCTTTAAGGTACAATCTTCGAAGCTGGACACTTTGTATAAAACTTTGTAAATTAAATTGCGTTAGCCTAATAATTAGAACAAAGACTATCCTATAGATACAAGGTGATACGAGTTACTGGTTGTCAACTCCAACACGAACAGCACAGCGCATGCATGACGATTGGCGTATTGATTAACAGTTTCCAAGAACTACTGACTTTTCGGGGAATCTCAAATTCTCTGAATCTGAAATCGAAAGCAGTGCGCTAATATCGAAACAACAGTTACGTTAGTATTTAATACATTACAAACTGTAAAGAAGTACTTGTATCTTTCAAGTACCATCTTCGAAGCTGGATACTTCTTATGTCATACGGGGCCGTGGGGTAGCCTAGTGGTTAGAGCGTTTGTTCGTCACGACGAAGGCCCGGTTCGATTCCCCACATGGGTGGAATTTGTGAAGCTCATTTCTGGTGTCCCCGCTGTGATATTGCTGGAATATTGCTAAAAACGACGTAAAACCATACCCCGTCAGTCAGTCAGTCTTATGTGATGTAAACTGGTATCAAATTGCTGTCTTTTGCAATATGATACAACTTAGCAGGGCCTGAAAGAGCTTGGTGTTCAGGATAATAGAATATGACAAATATGTTCTTCCTGCGTGGCTAAAGATGAAATGATGTAAAACGAGATTGGACTCAGGGTATCATAAGCACAACTAACTATTACATCCGCACTGTCGTTAACTGTGCCTAAGAAATGGACCTATTGCTATTCATTGTTAGTCCAAACGTTCCTGGCGTCAGCATCCCACCGGCTTACATTTCAACATAACAAAGGGAAGACGTCATTCAGTATTTATAGTGCCGACGCATTAACGTATGCAGGTAGCGCCAACTTGTCACGACATCAAAAGTATACCTGCAACGTTTCAACATGGCAGAGGCACCAAGCGCTGTTTCAGGTATTTACAATACTCTTTATTTACTTCACAAACAAATTCGTGTAATACACTGCATAGGCATGTCTACCTCAATAACATGAAACAAGGTATCTTAATCATATTCAACTGGAATGGATTAACATATCTCAACCATTCTAGCTCGTATATTGTTCATCGTGTAGAGAGTGTGGCTGTTAGAGTAACATACACGGAAAACAAACGTTGTAGGGCTGAATTGCCATGACAGTAACAAAAGCTGTTTGAAGAAAAGCAAAGGCATTCTCACACGTGTTATATGTATAATGGAAGTAGATGGCAGTAGACTGTTTGGATATAAATGAACCACATTTCAATATACCTGAAGCTTAAGTTAAAAGTCTTAGTCTGTTCCCTTGTCAGAGTTTACCAATCCGAGCGGAACTTTCTATTTGTCTTCATGATGAGTGAGTGAGTGAATTGGAGTTCACGCCGCCTTTTGCAATATCCCAGCGTATATGCAGCGGGGTAGACCGGAAATAAGATTCACACAAGGTACCCATGTGGGGAATCGAACCTGGGCCTTCGTCGTGACGAGCGAACTCTTTGACCATTAGGCTACCCAAGCCCCATTAAGCCACGCATAATCAAGGAGACACATTCACATTATCAATATGGATGTCCAACGAATTAATACATTATTTTTAAGTTAACTTCAGATGACAGATTTGATGACAGAGATCTAAGAATATCTTTTGTCACCACGTTCAGTGACAGAAACCCAATGGAACAAAGAAGCTTTCAGATTCAGATTCATTTTATTCAGTATTTCGGGCCTAAAGGCCTATAGGTACAAATACACTTGCTACAATTATATGCACGTGTTGGTTGTGGTGGCATTTCTTGCATTAAAGACATGTTTTAAATAAATTGCAATAGATTTGATAATATCAATATTTTTAGAATTTAACAGACTGGACAATGTTTGTTCATCTCTTTACAGGTGTTTGTACAAATGATAAATACTTAGTTCTTAAATCTAAATATTTGGTACACACAAATAATACATGAAATTCACTTTCAATATTACCTGTATTACAATTTTTACAGATGGATTCATTTTCATCATTGAAAGCTCTATTGGGTTTGCGTAAATAGTGAATTCTAAAATCATGAAAGCCAATTCTAAATTTACACAAAGCCCGTATTAACGATTTGTCTTGTAGGTTCATAATATAAAACTCCGGTTCTAACAGAGATTTATGGGAAGAATAGTGTTCTAAGAAACTTGAATTATTTATAGACATAGACCATTCTTGGAAGAAAATGTCCACAAAGACGTTGCTTAAAACATATAAAAATTACATTCATTTCCAACCATTTGTGAAATCCACACATGAGAAAATCCAGTCGAAAAAAGTAACTGTCTAACCTCTGATGCCCAATTAAGCTTGCCAATATCATCTTGTAGCTTTAGGAACATATAACTTTGCCTTGGGTACCTATAAGAATCCATTTTTAATAATTTCAACCAAAATTTTATTACTCGTAATCTGGTGAGAATACAAATATATTGCAACGCCCAGTTTCCCCTAATACATCCTTATTTGAGGCATACTTTCCCAAATTTAGGAAGCATTTAAAATATGATGCATGAACCTTTTCTATACAATGAAAGTATTTAGTTCCCCAGATTTCGGACCCATATAAAAGAATCGGTAAAATCTTACAATCAAAGATGGTACAGGCTGTTTTGAAAGAAATAAAAGAATTCTTTTTGAATAACTGATATACAGATTGCATAGCCTTTGATGCTTGAACAGATAAATGTTTACAGGCTGTTGACCAATTTAGTCTGATGAGAATATTAAACCCAAATATTTATAATACGAAACACATTTTCAGCCTTGTATTACCATAATACCATACCTCAACCTTTTATAGCAAGGTACCCATGTGGGGAATCGAACCTGGGCCTTCGTCGTGACGAGCGAACTCTTTGACCATTAGGCTACCCAAGCCCCATTAAGCCACGCATAATCAAGGAGACACATTCACATTATCAATATGGATGTCCAACGAATTAATACATTATTTTTTAAGTTAACTTCAGATGACAGATTTGATGACAGAGATCTAAGAATATCTTTTGTCACCACGTTCAGTGACAGAAACCCAATGGAACAAAGAAGCTTTCCACTATGCTTGTGTGAGATGGTTGTGTAAAAATCAAATGCATTGAGTGAATTAACTTGGTTCTTGATTGTAAAAGATCAAACAAGTACATTAAGTGTTTGGGAATATTTTGTATTCATTCTACAACCATAAAGATAAACAATCAATACATATTTCTCAGTTCAATAAACACTGATGTGACTAAATATACTGCTTGTTTACTTTTCCTTATGGTATCCATGTTTTATACAGGTTTAGTTATTATTTCATAATTTGCGCTAATAACTAATGTATGTACGAGACACTGTACTGTCAACCAAATGGTTTGAAATACTGAATGAAATGTTAGTTTCTGTTAACACATCTACCCTGAAACATTTTACTTAACGTATCAGTGTAACAAAACAAGTTGTTTTCCTGAAGGTTAACACTTGTTTGATGAATCACTTTTGATTTTTGTCACAGATACTTTCATTGTTGTAAATACATTCATCTCAGATCATCTTCAAGCACTACATACGAAGGCCGAAGATCACTGTTCCAGCCGGTCTTCCGAAACAGTCAGTGTCCTTTACCGCAATAAACCTGCTGACTATTTCAAGCAACTTGTAAATAACACCATGATGCCACAACTGAAGGACAACGGCGGGGATCCACGCTGTCCATAAACGGGAGACTGAAAGGTGTGTTCTTCGGGGTGACCCTTTGGAACGGTAAGCTACCAACTAAATCCCCATTCAGGAGACACCAGAGTGGTGGTGCCCCTAAAGAGACTTTTGATGACTCTGCCAGGCTGTACTTCGCCGATTTCTACTGTATGAAAGATCAAAGGAAGAATCACTACGTCATATTGGTCCTTACAAAGAAGGATACAAAAGCTGACAACTTCTGTGAGAAGCACCTCATTCGTTTGGAAGAACGAACCAACGTGTTCCTGAGGAAAGAAGAAAGCACCTATAAAACTCTCCGGCAGGGCAACGTATGGGTTAAAGTCTTCTATCCACATGAAGTGGATTTAGCGGGCTGGCGCGGACCAAAACTGGATTGATCGGGAAAGGAAGCAGTACAGGAGGCATAAGTAAAACACCTAATTGTAAAATATGCAATGTAGATCCTCAGACTGATGTCCCTGACCTTCAGAAAACAATGTCAATGCTTAAATTAGAAAATTAGAAAGGACAAGGACAGATCAATCTGAAAAGTGAATCCAAGAACCATGTGTGTACATGATAACCAACATCTGGCTTTATGCTTTACTATAGGGGTAACATTGTTTGAGATATTGAAGGTACTTTTTATAAATAGTTATTTATTGATTTGTTTCTGAATAAATGTTGCTACATACTCTGAAAGTGAACATTTGTGAACATTTGTAAAGTACTGTCTGTTTCGCTGTATTGCTGTATCTCGCTAAAAGAAATGTCTTTTGAAGGTTGTTGTCACGATCGTTGTCACTGCTGTGCCATTGAAGCATCAACAAGACACTATCAATGTCTATCAATATAATGTTTTTGTAGATCCATCGTAATTCACTATTTGTAATGTAACCTATTGCCTTTTAACATGATTCACTGTTTGGAACATAAATTCCTGCTTTTGCAACATCTGGGTAATGTATATGTATAATTCTAATGTATATGGTCTGGCGGCCTTTTGTACAATAAACATCTTTGACTTTGAGTTTGGTTTGGAAACAAAGAGGCTGTGTTTTGGTTGATACCGATAGGGTAGGGCATATATAACCCTTTCGTGAACACCCGGTGTCATCACGAAGTTTCATTGATCAATTCGTGTAATTTTCACCGCTATTTGCACTTTTACGGATAATTGAATCTGTTTCTGAGGATACTCGAGACTGAGTATCAATTTGCACTCATGTTTTCCTTTGTATCAAGTGATGTAAATTTTATTGGAATTTTAAAGATAATATTTGTCGATTTAACAAGCATCCAATTGTCAGTATCTCTAAGATGATATTCTAAATGAAACAGCAATTCCATGATGCATACAGAATCTGTCCATGTATATTTATCATGCGATGTTACATGGAAAAAAATAGTACATTTCAGTAAATGTGTAACCATCATAGTATAATGTTTGTAATGTACTGTAGGCCAGTTACCTCTTGAGAAAATGAATAAAATATCTGATACAATATTCAGATTGACAAACAATAATTTAGCTTTTAGTAAGAGTGTTTTGCGTAATGACAGTCATGACTGGTTAGTATACAGAATGTTCAGAGTGCAGCGTGTTTAAATCAATGTTGGTTGAAAGGCTGATATGCACAGTGGAGAGCTGTTACTGGTGTCGGTACAGAGTGCCCCCGCAAACGGGCCATCGCTGTGAGGAGCTTGACTGAGTCGATTTTAAGCAACATGGCAGTCGGAGATATCTCGGATAAAAGTAATTGCGCATGATGCAAACATAAATATGTGCTTTCCTGTATGTAAGCTAACTACATCGAGCACATTTCAAACTGTTTATAGAAATTAGCCCACTGTGTTTCCAACTTTCTACATGCACCTTTGTTAATCATAGAAAAGACCGACGGAAGCCTATCTTGAGTCTAATCAATGTATCGATAGATTATTATTGCATATATAATGTATGTTTAAAACCTGTGTTTTATGCTTGAGAGGTGGTTGAAACCTATAAAACAATATCAATGTAACTGTTGTTTCGATAGTAGCGAACTTCTTTCGATTTCAGATTCAGAGAATTTGAGATTTCCAGGAAAGTCAGTAGTTCTTGGAAACTGTTAATCATCACGCCCGTCGGCGACAGGCGCCATGATGTTTGTGTTGGAGTTGTCAAACGCCTTCTCGTATCTCCTTGTGTATTGGCCTTTATTAGATTTTTAATATGTG